GTGGCTAGTACAGAAGCTCGAAGCTGAATGCCGTCTTCCAATGAATGGCAATGCATCGGCTTTAATCAGCTCCTGGAAACCTGTGCATGTCAGACGACATTATTCAAATACCCTGCAGAGTGGGCTACTGGGCTCTACGCATAGCGTCAGCGTGAACTTGGCCTCTTCAATTGCTTTTGTCTTAACTTTGTTGGCTAACTCTTAAGTAGATTAATTAACAAGATGAAGCACATACGTTGGTCGCAGGTACATATGTACACATACATGTGTACTTGGTCGCAAGTACACGTTTGTCGCAGGTACAAATGCACATACATGTGTACTTGGTCGTAAGTACACGTTGGTAACAAGTATATATGTCCATTCGCTAGTACAGACTTACCAAGCTCTTGCTCATTATCAAGTGCAAAGATGAAAAATTGCCTTTTACTTCAACTTGGTTCCTGTTTTTATGTCGCATACTCATCGTAGTATAATGGCGTCGATGATTTTTCTGCGTGGTTTAGGGATATTTTGAATGCTTTCAAAACATTTTCAATAGTCAACTATAATCATTCGGAGATCACGCTAATATATAAACCATGTATGAGACAGAGCGGAAAAATTCAAGTATCAGTCGAAAAATTTAGGACCAAACTGTGCGTATCAACGAAGAAGATGCAATTGAAATGTGATGTTGAAAATGTTCGGCATAAAACATTACCGCTGAGGAAGATGAACCTCTGGCGAGAGTTTCACAAGAAAACTTCGACTTCCCACTCGAAAGCAAGATGGAACGCGCTGGGTAAAAACTCTTCAAGAGTTCGGTGTTTAATTCTTCGAAATTGATTTTTTCTCCAAATGCTCCTCAATAATTAAACTCTGAATTTGTGACGAAGAAATTTGACCTAGCAAGGAAACCTCTTCTCTTAGGAGAACTAAAACGTCGGGCCGGGCAAGTGAAGAACCTAGAGCACTGGAAATCTTCGCGCTGCTACAGAAATAGATTTTTTTAATACCTGTCTCTCTGATATAGAAATATTCCTAAACCATTCTCTATGATAATTGATTAATTTATAGTCTGTTAAAGCAGCTACAGGAATAGACCATTTAATTAGAGCGACAACATTACTCCATCAAATATCATCGTTCAGAGCCTATTCCAGCATTGGCTTGTATAAAATAACATTTTATACTCACCTTGTATCTGTGTTATATCATGCAAGAAAGTAATTAAATTATCAGAAAAAATAGGATTGTTTATTCGGAATAGACAGAGCTATTCATGTTTAGGTTGATCTGTGATACAATATTTATCGATTTTGCCTTATTTAGCCAATGTTCGGAAGAATAAAAAAGGAAAATTTTGATTTATTAGATTCGCTGTTCTCAAACCGACAGTGCTGGAGAAATTAAAAAATTTGTTAATGGTGTTGTTTAATTTCAATTTCAAGTCAAAAAATAAATGTAGAGCCTGCACGGTGAACTTTGATTTTTGTCTCATTCGTTCACTTCTGTAATGATCGAAGGAAAATGAATCATTATTAAGACTATTCAACTTTGGCTAGAGATTTTTAATTACCATTTATTACAAAGATATATATACAGTTCAACAGAGGGAAAAATCCTGTCAAATGTACGATTTTAATGCAAATAATGATCTTATATTAATGATATTCTGATCACAAAATCCTCAGTGGCATGGCAATGGCAACCTATGGTCATTCACGTCCACTGCAGCTTATTTCTGGCAATTGACGCTCATTGCCGTCGTGTACAGTTCCCTGGCATCTATTTATGCTGCTCTCATGATCACCTCGGCTGCGAGATTCCACTAATTCATATCAACTCGATCTGAACCTAAACAGCGCAATTTATGTCATTCCGGTAACCCGGGTTTTGAGATACTGCGTTGTGCATGGAGGTTCTGTGTGTCGTGAAGATCTCTGGCTTATTCGATTGGAGCAAAATAAACCAATCAACAGGCGGGCGCCGTTCACTGAGTGCTTGCTGGACGTCCATATGGCTGAAGACTGGTATATAAAACATGACATACTCGCTGGCTTTACATTCCTGTCAAAAGGTAGGAAGACGAAAAAATTGCTTTGGTGTTTCGACAAGCCACATTCTAAAGGGTGCCCAATTATTTCACAGGATAGATTTAACCTCAAATATCGTGAAGAATTCCATATTTATAATTTAAAACTTTAAATTCACCAGAAGTATCTTGCCAACTCTGGTTATAACATCAAAATCCCTTTTCACTCTACGGTCTTAGCACCGAATACTTCATTAACTATTTAGCTTCCAAAATGTGCTCACGTCTAAATTGAAATGTTTCAAAAGAAGCTAGCAAAATATCCTCCCAAATTTGTTCTTGAGGTAATATTTAATCATAAACATATGCATGATAATTTGTCTTGATCGCTCAGCATGCTACTCTACAGGTGGTCACGCTTGCCTTTTCATCACCTGCAATGATTTTCTAACATAACTGCTCTTGTTTGGGTCGATCTGTGATGCAATATTATTTCGACATTTTATAGTTTATATTATATTATATTATTATAGTTTACAATATCATTATATCGATATTCAACCTATTGTCCGTATTTCGTAAAATGATTTCAGTTCAGAAAAACGTTAATTTTTCAAGCGCCCCACAAAAATACGGCTGATCACCTATATGATTTTCGTCCAGTGAAGCTAAATTATGGTGCAAAAAAAATTAGTTATCTACTCCAGTCCACCAATATTTTTTATTGCAATATTTTTTAATAGATTGATTAGCTGGCAGTGAAGCCCTTAGCACAAATGTTGAAACTATCAAACAATTTACCGCAGTAGTTTATCTCCATTATGAAGATGAACGAAGCAGAGAAGTCATATTAAAGACCGCATTTCGTTTGCCATCATCCGGAGGGCAGAGACTGACTGCACTTGCCAAACTTCCTTCTCATTTATATACATATTCGCTCCCGGGAATTCCTGACGTGAAGCCAGAGTGGAGGCTAACTCATTCGTCTCACTGAGTCAAGACACATTGAAAATGTCATGATAAAAGGAGTTTCTTGATTTTCAAAGATTATTAGTGTATTGTTTGGACTTCAATCTCATTCAGATTTCAGTCTTTTCACTGATGAGTAAAGAAAAACGATATAATTGATAATTTCCCAGAAATGAATGAGAATGAAATATAATATATAACAACTATTATGTAAAAAAATCATAATATCTGTAATGATTTCTTGTAGAGTCTCGTTTACAATATTTATCTTCTTATAATCCCGGTAAATGTCTTTTTTGCTAATTAAAAACGCTACTAGAAAATTTTTATTCTGTATTAATCAGCAATAAATTTCCTAGTATATATTACGAAACCATTGTTAAAGGTGAAAACAATAATTATTATTGAATAGAATTCTTCCTTTAAATTTTGAGAGTTAGTCAAGGTTATTCTAGGTTCTTCCTATCATACAATGCACACGTTATGATTAAAGGAGCTCCTAATATGCAGGGCAAAAGACTGTTATTACTCGTCACGCTCTAGAACATCAATGCAAAGGCGTACTCTCATTAAGGGCTTATGGGTTCGCCATTTCCAATCATAGTTTTTTATGCATCGGTAATGGAGGGAGACATTTCAGCAAGGCAGGCTTGATTTTCCAGCGTGTAATTTCGCTTGAGAATGTTTCAAATTTAAAAAAGTCTTCAACCATCAAAACAAAATGGGTTAAGTTAATTGACTGATAATAAGTGATTTTGTGAACAAATATTGTATTTTCAGTGTTACTTACTCTTAAGATGACTGCGTACCGCGTACAGATGAGAATCGTTGAATAATCTCGACGAAGAGAAGTAAAAGAGAAGTAGCTTCTTCATTGAAGAGTTTCTTTTTATTTTTTTCCAGGATGATGCAATTTTTAATGACCCTCTAAGGAGTCCATTTGTTCTAAAAGCAGATCTCCATGTAATGACAATGACAGGCTAATGTTCTTTAGTAATTCATCTAAATAAAAACCTCTCGCGCTCTTCATGTTTTTGTTAGCTTGGCAAAGGCATGGTTCAGATTTTTTTATGGAGTCCAATTCCGTCTGATTCATGGTTTTGGTATCAAAAAAGATCTTATGAATCTGGTGTCAGTCTGCCTCGTTTACACGTCCTTGCAGTGTTTATATCAGGAAAAAATATCTTTAGAAATGGTTGATTCCAGTTATTCGAGGGAAAATGGAATTTAAAACTGTCTAAAAAATATGCCTGGAGAAAATACTGCTGTAATACTATTAAAAAATTGCTCATGTGTTGGCCGAATTACTAAATCTGTCACCAAAATGAACATGGATTATATTTCGCGCTTTGAAATTCTACCGTTAGTTGTATATCAGATTTCAGAAAAAAATCTTGGACTCGCCTGAACTACAGCCAGTTGGCTACTGCAACTGTTCTTTAAAACGTGCTTTATTCAGAAAAAAATGTCTACTTCGCACTCAACTATTTAGAAAATTATACCATGGATGATTCCCTCAGCAACTTGAATTTTCTCAGTGCATACTCAGCATTGTAAAATTTTGCTAACACGACCATCCATTCCGTGCGCTAACAGAAAACTTTTCGGGTGAAATTCAGCAGGAGTGTTTCATTTGTCAACGCATTCAGGAGAGCGGGCAGATTTTTCTTCAATTTACTGCGCGTCTTGTTAGTGAGAAGCTGTGGAGTCTTTGGTGTTCAATCATTTTTAGGTTACGAACGAAGATCAAACAAAGTGACGACGTGTTCTAACCGTGAAATTGTTCGCTCAAAGTTGTTGCCTATTTCAGGGTAATACGAAAAGAGTTTAATTTTTATAATTTTGTTTTTTCATTGCCAGAAATACGGATAATTACGAGTTTAGTACCATTTTGAAACTTAAAAATTATAATGTAATTCAAAAATTTTCATTCGTAATTTTAGTTAACTATTGCATGAGCAGGATATACAAATAATTTGTGACATTAATTATTTAATTTATACTTTGACGTAGTGTTTGGAATGCTTAAACAGACGATCAGAAAAAAAATTAAAAACCCATTATATGCCGAAAATTGTTTTGACAAGAATTGTTAACAGAAAACCCTTGCTTTACGGATACAAACCACTATTAATTCTTCACAAAGTCAAACCATCCTCTATCTGTTAATGATTTTATTGAACTTTAGACCTATTCTTGTCGTTGAAATAAACAAGAAAAATTTATACCCTATTGCTGGAAAATTGCGAAAGCACGATTCCCGATCGTTCAGCTGCTGCACTTGATAAAGAGCATTTTAAAACCTTAACACAAATACGTGAACACGTAACTTGCAAAAATATGCTAAAAATTAGGTGGTTTAGTACAGTAAATTACTTCTTAAAATATTTACAACGCTATTTGTGAGACACTTTAATACTTGAGGCAGGACTTTTCATATGAACCCTGTAATTAATTAACACACGTACAGTTTAAATAATAGTTTTATATTGTAATCACAATGAAAATAAGTCCTGGAGCTTCATCGACAATTCGCAATTGCAGTCCAAAGTTTAAATTACGTTTCGAGCTCAGGTGCTTGAGTTTTGCTGCACATCTCCGAGTTGCATTTGAGGCTCCCGGCAATTGACGGCCGTCAGTTGGCCGAGGTCGGTACCGATCAAGAATTAAAATGGTTTCCACTTGAATGTTTCTCGGGGGCACGGCGCTCCAATTAAGCTCCCGTATGCTACGAGTATTTGTATTCCAAGTCGACCTGCTCTTCAATATTGCCAAAAGCCGAAACTGACAAGAACATGTTAGGGTACTGCCAACCCACGAGCTGTATTTTACATTAATTGGCGGCTTGCGTTCGCGGGTGGAACAAGATCGCATTGGCGTCACAATAAAACGAAGAAATGAGACTGCGATCATTGCAACGTTCAATATTTTGGGTAAAAGAAACTGCTTCAACTGGGACGTGGCTGACAAGAATGGGTATACGAAGGAGAGCTGCATGCTGACAAGAGGAGCGGTGAGCAGTAGAAGAAGCAATACAGGCGCACTGGACTGGTGAAGGTTGGTGCTCGCGTCGTGATGCATGGCGGCGGGCTCCTTCTCTGTGGGCCGTGAAGTGTACAAAGACATGAGTGCAACTCCGCTGCTCTTCAACTCAAATATCAAGTAATTGGGGGCAGTAGATTAAGCGGCTAGACTGGCAAAATTGACCGTTCTTTGCAAAATGATTGAACTCGCATAGGATAAACCTCATATACATTTCTTCAAGCTAGATATATAAAAATACAATTTGATCATTTTTGAGAACAATTAGTTAAAACGTAAATATAACTTAATTAATTTCTAACCATGCAAGACATAGACGGAGACAGAGGCAGCGGGCAGGTCGCGTGGATGACACGTGTAGTTCCCAGCGTCCCTGGCATCGACGCGCTGCAGGGACAGCCGAGTGCTGGCTCTGGCGCCTTCATGGCTCATGAAGAGACTTAAACCACCTCTGAATGGTAAGAAATGTCATTATATTCGTTGCTTTTTAACGGACAATTGTACGTCCTCTCGAAATATTCCCAAAATATTGCCCAAAAAAAAATATTCCCAAAGGAAAGATGCAGCAATCATAATCAATTTATATCATGTGCCAGTGAGAGTGGTATCACTGCAGAAACATTCCAGTCTGGTATTTTCATATTATACGATTTATATACGACAAGTAAACTGTTAAATCAATTTCAAATGGCTAGAACAATCGTAGGAGCCAACATCAAGATATCAGTAACCTGCCGCTAACTCATCGTTCGTAAGACAGCCATTCGTCTTATATATTTTTAGTTGGTGAGTGATACGAGCGCTCACACGTAAATCATGTTCCCTACTGTATTTACATTCAAGACTGGAAATGGAACAAATGCTGATTTTTCGGAACCAAAATTTTATAATGAATAAAAATCGAGCTTCGTTTAATTAGTTCTTCATTTGCCACTTTGAAAATGACTGATGTTAGCTGAGATGGATAAATCACGGGATAGATGTCTAGATGGATAAATGCTCAGAAAATACATTATTTTTCTATGCAATAATGTTCTTAAAATGAGGGGAAATGCAAGGAAGTGCTTTGAAATTGTATCGAATAGGCAGTTAAACTGTTTGCAAAATGAGTGTAGATAAAATTCATAAATAATTAATTCAAAACCTAATTTTTAACGTACTCAATGCCTAATATATTAATATATTGCCAAGATTCCTGCCACCTTGTTAAACAATAAACAGGATGATGTTATCCGAGACATAAGAAGAGGTTTCAAACGAACCGAGAACATGACAGTCCTTTTCATGAAGGGATTTCAGTGATGAATATGTTCTAATTTTCTCAACTTTTTTTAAAATATTTTATAATGATATACTAAAATATCACAAGGGTCAGGACACAACAATCAAAACGCGTTTTTGCTCGTGAGAAAAATATATGTTTTATTATAAATGAATAAGTAAATAAATATTAAAAGCGCTTTAGTATGAATATTATATATGAAATATTCATAACTTCTTCTCTAAATTAAAACGTATGTTATCTACTATGTAATCTTCGCATTCATAACCTGAATACGTTTTGACTGATATCAGTTGGAATTACTGTTAATACAAAATTACTTCCAATTACATTTTCCGAAATGAAATTTGGTTCGGATGAACAGGCAACGAAATCAATAATATTTAGCGTTATATATTACGGAGATGAATGACATTCTTATGAAAATGAGTCTGAACGTATAGTTCTTGCGTGTGTCCAATATTAACATTAAGGCAGAAAATAATTGTTTTCTGGAAAGTTTTCATATTCCAAAGGATCCTAGCCTGGCCTTGTGTTTACGTAAACTTTATGATAATTTACGTAAACTCCCAAGTGCTAGGCTGGCGTAAAACCTCTCATAATAATTCAAGCGCTTATAGTGAAGAGCCTCCCATAATTCTTTGAGATGAATTTTTCACTTGACTGGTCAGGCGAAACGAAAACGGATGGCAGCATCTGAACGTTGCTCGCATTCTTGAGAGGTTGCTGGCTGTGTTTGTCAAACAGTGTAGGAATGTTTGTTAGAAGCCAGGGCCCATACTTTCAAAAAAAGTTAAGAGATCGTAAGTTCATCAGCCAATAATTGAGAGCCTTTCAAGCAAAATCCACCAATCAAAGACAAGAAAATAGAGCGTAAGTACTTACGTTCACTTAGCGAATTTTGAAAGTATGGCCCCTGAAGTGCAATGTTCAATTTCATATCATCTGTCTTCATATAACTATATGATCTTGAAGTTCAAGCTGCTATGAAGGACTCGCGTTTTCTGAGGAATTAATTTAGAAAAGTCTAGATCATGGTCAGTAAAAAATTTCCTTTACTTCTCCGCATTACGATGTCATCAGGTAGCGTGAAATATAAACATTAATTATCATTTCTCCGTACTTCATGAGATTGCCTTGCACTTTCAGTAAATTTTCACTGTCGTTCAAGCCCGAAAAACTCGCTGCTTTTATTAATACATTCATTCGGTTCATGATCGCGATCACATAATGACCATTATGCATACGCGTCTTCAAAATTTATTTGGTTGATGAAAAAAAATATTCAAATTTTCCCCTTTTCACTTGACTTCATGAGCGACTTCACTTTCACTTGACTTGACTTGAATTTTTTCAGCTGCAAAATTTATTTAAGTAAAATTTAATGAACGTTGAGCAAACATGATTTTTTTCAAACTTTCTATTGCTTTAAAGTCGAAATCATTTTGTGAAAATCGCAAATGATGCGCGACCTGAGTCGAATTTAAGTAAATGTGTTCTCTTTCGACCTTCGACATTGGAATGTGGTATACGTGGGCGGCAGAGCTTGAATAGAATTGTTCCACGTTGTTAACTCCTCAGTCGCGGAAATTGTCCATTCTGTGCAGGACCTGGACTTGAATTCGGAAGCATTATTTAGTGGAGTTGTTAATAAACGCAATGCTAACGAACGTGACGCTTTTAGTTGACGTTTTTCAATTAGTTATTTAAGGTAAAAGAACCTTTCCTGGCTTAACCTAACCTTAGTAAAATAGTAAAAAATATAACTCGGTACTCACTGCAGTGAGTGACGGAGAGCGCATTTTCTCGTCGACGAAAACTTGAGGTCACGGACGGACGGACAGACAGATGGACGGACGGACATGGCGAGCACAATAGTGCATTTTTTCCAAAAATGAGAAAATGCGCTAAAAAGTGTCTAAAAACATTTTTCACACCTCTAACCCTAATTCTAACCCTAACATAACGAGATTTTCGTTAATTAGCATATCGCATAATAACGTTCATATTTTTTTGTGTCGCACTATTAGCAAATACTAATCATAGATAGATTCTGCGAAATTGGTACATTCCGAGACAGTAGTTGTGAGACATTTTGTCACACAATATGCCAAAAATATCGCGCTATTGTCGAAAGTAGGAGCAACTTTTTGATCGAACAATTCCGCGACACGGATTTCGGGAACTGTTAAGGAACGGGTCGCACAATAACCATACAAATCAATAATATATATTTCCATTTATATATAGTTTAGTAATTAATTGGGATAACATGGGTTAGTTCCATGCATATAACAAACAAATATTCAGACAGTAGCAGCCATATCATTCATATAATGAAAGACAGAACCAGTTCTGTTGCCAAAAATTGCCATCATATTTTTCGGGTAGTTTTAGACTCTGACGTCGTAACTCCTCCATTTTCCGGAAATTTGTGTGCTCGCTTACTTGCCGCGAGTGCTGGCGCTGCAATGCTGGAAGCTTTTAGGCTTCCATTGAGGATTGGCAGGCGGCCTGATCACATGACCGATACAGATTGTGGCGATTGTGTAACAATCTATTTAGGAATGGTCAACTGATGTTGGATGATCGTTCTCTTGGTCAAGCTGAAATTTCATTCCATAGGTTAATAAAAAATTGTTTTCATTAATGATCATAATATCTTAAGTGGTGAACTGAGAGCACAAGGAACGGGGATCCGGCTTCGCAGTGATGCATCGTCGTGGCAAGAACCAAAGATTCATTGCCATAACTCATCGTGATAAAAATGGTACTGTTTTAGCAGCTAACCTTAGTATCCTCCTTTATATTTTAACCCAGCGATGATGGAATTTAAATAGTTTTCAATTTACTATACATGACTAAGGTGAGATATAAGAGGACACTAGTATCGTTGGTGTCCAACAGGGTTGTTGAGACTAGTCTCAACAGCGATGTAGTCTAGCCTAGCTTTACGTTGGTCTTATAAAATGGGTTCTCTGGCTTCCTTGATGACAATATAGTGACTATCCCAACCTGTGGTGTCAGGTGCCGGACATAGCACTTTTAAAATGGAAGTAGCAATATCTGATTAATTGTAACCAATAACTTGCTGAAATCGAATCAAGTAAAAGTTAGAAGTATTTCCCGAATACATTTTCGTGTCTACATTTAAATATTATCAATATATTATATTGTTGTCACTGTTTGTAATAATTTCTTCAACTGCGATTTACTCCTTCAATTTGAAATAGTTAAAAATGGGTATATATAACTTAGAATTGTTCAAACATTTTTGTATTGCCTCAAAAATCCATTTTTAGCGCATTTTCTCTTTATAGAAAAAAATTTTCTATTGTGCTCGCCATGTCCGTCTGTCTGTCTGTCCGTCTGTCCGTCCGTGACTTCACGTTTTCTTCGATTTTCAGAAGCGGGCATGCCTGTATCAAAGATACGACATCTCTAGCTCTAATGCACTGTACTAATCGCAATGAAAACTGATTTATGCACGAGAAAATGCGCTCTCTGTCACTCACTGCCGTGAGTACTGAGTTATATATTTTTTGCATATATTTATTCTCGCCGAGGTTAAACTGAAGTCTCACCTCGCTGTGGTGTCGTTGAGGACCGTAGAGTTGTGCGTCCATACAAGTGGAGGAGGATGGGGCGGCGCCAGCAGCCAGCAGGTGAGCAGCAGGCGAGACCCCGCGTGGATGTAGACTTCGTGTGGGCCCGCTATGTGGGCCCGACCCTCTGTCACCACGAGGGTTCATACCAAGCAAATTAGAACGAATTGCACGATATTTCTTCTTTGTTATAAGTTAGTTTGCGTGATGCTGGAGAATTTATGAATGTATATCTTCAGTGCTAATAGAATGTGTACAGACAATTTTAACACATATCATTTTCCATTCCATTGTCTACGGATGTACTTGCAAATCGCCATATGCCTTCATAGGCATTAAATGTATGATATGAGGCCCGCATGCTTTAAAAGAATATGATTCAAATGAAATTGAAATCAATTGATTTGAGTGCACGTTCTGTGATGATAGTGAAGTCACTAAGGCAAGATGACAGACTAAGTTGCTCATGAAAAAAAAACGCTCACGCCATCGAAGCATACTCAATGAGATGCGTATAATGAGGTGCATGTATATTGTACCTCGGCTGGCAAATTCAGGAAAAAATTCGGCAAATGAGCATTCGCCAACGTATTGTGCTGTAGTTTTACAATACGTTGTATTGTATCGTTGTACAATACGTTTTATTGTACAATGTATTGTATTGTATAGGCTTTAGGCTTAGAATTTTAATTGAGAATTTTAAGGGGAGCGTCTACCCTAAAATTTATCTCGGCTATTTACGAACGTTAACCAATAACTTGCTGAAATCGAATCAAGTAAAAGTTAGAAGTATTTCCCGAATACATTTTCGTGTCTACATTTAAATATTATCAATATATTATGTTGCTGTCACTGTATGTAATAATTTCTTCAACTGCGATTTACTCCTTCAATTTGAAATAGTTAAAAATGTGTATATATAACTTAGAATTGTTCAAACATTTTTGTATCGCCTCAAAAATCCATTTTTAGCGCATTTTCTCTTTATAGAAAAAAATTCTCTATTGTGCTCGCCATGTCCGTCTGTCTGTCTGTCCGTCTGTCCGTCCGTGACTTCACGTTTTCTTCGATTTTCAGAAGCGGGCATGCCTGTATCGAAGATACGACATTTCTAGCTCTAATGCACTGTACTAATCGCAATGAAAACTGATTTATGCACGAGAAAATACGCTCTCTGTCACTCACTGCCGTGAGTACTGAGTTATATATTTTTTGCATATACAGTATCTATTCTCGCCGGGGTTAAACTGAAGCCTCACCTCGTTGTGGTGTCGTTGAGGACCGTGGAGTTGTGCGTCCATACAAGTGGAGGAGGATGGGGCGGCGCCAGCAGCCAGCAGGTGAGCAGCAGGCGAGACCCCGCGTGGATGTAGACTTCGTGTGGGCCCGCTATGTGGGCCCGACCCTCTGTCACCACGAGGGTTCATACCAAGCAAATTAGAACGAATTGCACGATATTTCTTCTTTGTTATAAGTTAGTTTGCGTGATGCTGGAGAATTTATGAATGTATATCTTCAGTGCTAATAGAATGTGTACAGACAATTTTAACACATATCATTTTCCATTCCATTGTCTACGGATGTACTTGCAAATCGCCATATGCCTTCATAGGCATTAAATGTATGATATGAGGCCCGCATGCTTTAAAAGAATATGATTCAAATGAAATTGAAATTAATTGATTTGAGTGCACGTTCTGTGATGATAGTGAAGTCACTAAGGCGAGATGACAGACGAAGTTGCTCGTGAAAAAAAAAACGCTCACGCCATCGAAGCATACTCAAAGAGATGCTTATAATGAGGTGCATGCATATTGTACCTCGGCTGGCAAATTCAGGAAAAAAATTGGCAAATGAGCATCCGCCAACGTATTGTACTGTAGTTTTACAATACGTTGTATTGTATTGTATCGTTGTACAATACGTTTTATTGTACAATGTATTGTATTGTATAGGCTTTAGGCTTAGAATTTTAATCGAGAATTTTAAATTGGTGTGTATAGGATAAGGTTAATCTGCTACTAACATTTTATACGATCTTACAGAAAAGTTTTATCCTTTACTTCTAGTTTGAAATGTGCTGTTACGCTTCCGCATAATCTCTACAATAAAATGATATGCACCAAAGCACTTGGAAAAATAACGCATTATTGATTTTAATATTAGTATCGACCACTCATGCTAATTTTTACAGAGTTTATTCAAATTTGTGAAGCAAGCTACAAATCGGTTGTGAATTAATTAAACTTTTTGTTGGCTTTCTTTCCATATGTGGTTTCTAGAATAACTAACTTACAAATGGAAACTAGGGAGGGGATGAAAACACTTTCACACATTTCTCAACAACGAAGTCTAGCCTTGCAGGGTGGAATACCTTGCTGGAGTAATTACAACAGAAGAAATAAAAACAAAGCGAATGATGAAAATTCTTTCGCAATATTCTCACCAACAACTTGAAGCCTGACAGGTTACAGCACAAACGAAAACAAGGCGAGGGAGGAAAACACTTTCACACAATACGCACCAACAACGTAAAGCCTGACAGGATGGAATATCTTGATGAAGAAATAAATATAGAACAAACGAAAACAAGGTGTGTGATGAAAACACCTATATACAATACTCACCGACGACGTGAAGCCTGACAGGGTGGAATATCTTGGGCCTGGTGTTGACCTGACATTGGTAGACTCCTTCGTCCGCTTGTGTGACGTCACTCAAGTGAAGATCCCATACGGCGGCTGCACCTTTATTGTAGCCTTCCACCTGACCGGCGTGTGCAGAAAAAGTTGAGCTAACTTTTGCATGGGCAATTCATGTAACTTTGTAAGAAGTTGTACGGGTTTATGGAGCCCAGCGTTTACTAGACCAAAGTGGAGTTCTATGCTAAGTTTCTGAAACAAAAGTTTGGCCTAGCTTGGCAATACGAAATTTTCCCTTATGTATGGATTAATAAAAATTGAGATATTAACGACCTCAGGCATTTACTAAAATTCATTTATACTAAAAATTGAAACAATAAAGACGTCAGGCTTCTGCAGAGACATTTAAATTAAAAAATTAATAACTACTCTGCGCTACACCGCGTTGACTTGTCTCCAGATCTTCGAACCACATTTGTAACGGAATTCTACGACAAAGATGTCGGCAATGAGAAATATTGTTTGTCCTTACTACCGTTCCAACTTACGGAGAACCGTTTGTCGGTGGTGAACGTGATGGCATTAGTGGTAAGAACCTGCAGATCGTTTTGACGAATCCATGAAACCTGGCATGAAAAAAAAATTATGAGCGCCACATTGATATTATAAGGCGATAAGAAAAGCGAGAGAAAAGAATATCATGTAAATTTTCATTATTTATCTGATGAAGTAAAAAATGGTGCTCCAAATAATATAAGATGGCAACTATGAAAGAAGTATTTGCAAATTTTTTCAGTTTATTGTTATATTATGCTGACATGAAAACTTCACTGATGATTGCCCTGACAATTTCAATTTTCATTAATCAAATCTCTTACAATGAGCAACGCGAACATCTTGATTTCCTTGGCAGCCATGTCAGGATGAACGACGTGCCTCCTGAGTATCAGTAACAGGTTGATATTTTTACTCACAGATCTGCCGCTGAGGTTGGCAGCCCTGCACGGCCCCGGAGCGTCACTTACACGTTGATATTACTCACAGATCTGTCCGGAGGTTGGCAACCCTCCACGGGCCCGGAACGCCACGGTCACGTTATCATGACTCACAGATTGTGAGTCATGAACACACACACTACACCTTAAACCGTTGCCGACCCTGAGGTTGGCAACCCTACACGGCCCGGAACGTCCCTTATATGAAGGTTTTACTCACAGATCTGCCTCTGAGGTTGGCAACCCTGCACGGCCCGGAACGTCACGGTCACGTTGTTAGAACTCACAGATCTGCCCGGATGTTGGCAACCCTGCGCGACCCGGAACGTCGCGGTCACGTTATCATGACTCACAGATCTGCCCCTGAGGTTGGCAACCCTACACGGCCCGGAACGTCCCTTATATGAAGGTTTTACTCACAGATCTCCCCCTGAGGTTGGCAACCCTGCACGGCAGGACGGCACGGCCCCGGAGCGTCACGGTCACGTTGGTGCTGAGGTCGGGCAGAAACTCCGGACCGCGTGACCCCGGGAACTGTGCGGCCGTCGCCCATGCGCTGTGCTCCCAGTCCGTTTCTTCCTCCCAGTCGCCTGCTGCGAGGGACACTGAAACTAATCACTTATCAACTTCTAGATCATTGCATGAATTGGCGTCAATGAAAGTTCTTGATTTCAATTTGGAGAAGATTTCTTCTATTGTTAACGCCTCGTACATTGTATTACGCCCCATATTATTCTCATATAGTCAATACATTCATTAATGAAGTGAGACTCCTGAAATGACGACGCTTTGTAAATCACATTACCCCACTTTTCTGCCTAACAAGTATTTCTATTTTCTCATGTGATGCTACTTCTCAATTAATGGCGTACTGCGGATTTTATTTCATAACCGTTCTACCTAAATATTCTTCGCAAATATTTATATGTTCTTTCCTAATTAATTGTGTATAATAAAATTCATCAGATCGCTCCATTACCTTATAAGTCTATGCATTCACAAGTGAGGTGTACCCGCTATACTCAATGCCTTACCGCATGAATATCATTACAGCAATATCCTAACTATATAACAAGTCTTTGCATTTAAAGTTGATTTACTACTCAATTAATAATGACAATATAATTTCATCACTTTATCTATGTGATAATTTATAGTAATTTTATTTGCAAAAAAGTGTTTGCTGTCTCTTACAGAGTGATTTACGGAAATTTCCTAATTTAAAAACTCAATAAAGAAGTACAGTACTAGTAGTGATACCATTACAATAAACATTTTGTTGTGTAAAGACATCACCTGAATTTTTCTATCACTTAATTTTAAAGATGACAATGGACAAATAACGGCCCTCATTGTCAATGCATTAGTTAGCCGATTTTTAACGTTCCGTTCGACTGAATGCATAGATAATGGGGGCCGTCATTTGTACGCGATGTCATCTCTAAAACTATTTGATACAAAATTCAGGTAAAGTCTTTTTCATTTATATTGTAATGATATCTTTAGTAGATTTTTCTTTCATCGAGATTTCGAATCAGGAAGTTTCCGAGAATCACCTTGTATAAATGTTTAAATCTGATATTTATGATCACCATCTGATTTATGATACAGAACGATGGAATGAATGTCATGTCATTTCCTTTTTGACAGCATTAGCTATAGATCTCTGCTGTGATTGGGTACAATTTTCTAATCTAATCCATCATCCCTGAAAAAATTTACAATTTTAATTAAGGATTCAGTTTAATAACCAAACTATTTGGAACAATACCGATATTCTCTTAGAGGTCGTATCTACCTGTACATGTTGAATATACCATTAAGAATGAATATTTTAATAATTATTGTTGGCCACTGGCGCAGTCGCTTGGATCGTTATATAGTTGATTCTACATTCAAAAATTCGACTTTTTTCATTATAAATATATTTGAAAAAGGACCGAATGAGGAAAAATTTGAATTTCCCACTTAACTCTTTCACTCAACTCAATACTTTGTGCATGTATGTGAATTTATTTCAATATCTCTGAAAGCAGCTGAAAGAAACAAATATTTCTCTATGACTTCTATGAAAGCACTCTGCACTGCATTGGACTTTGCCAACAATTCTATGGAATCAATCATTGGTGCAGCAAAGCTGTGGCGGGATTGCCTAACTTCCTTGATCTACAAGTTACATTTCCTTGGAGCTCGAGCACGGCAGAGGTAAAACCACCACCAGCCTAGCTATCAAACTAGTCTTAGTTGAAGACGTCCTGTGTTTCCTCACAATAAAGAAGTTTCAAAAATAAATGTTAGTTAAGAAAACATACACATATGAAATCACAAGTATCTGAGTAATGACATCATTAATGAAGTGGATGGTTTAAACACAAAAAACGTGCTGTCCAAATTTCAGAGCATGTATATTATACGTGATCGTTAAAAGTGATTGATAAGTTAGTTCATCAACTAACACACATCTTGTGAAAATTTTACCGTACAGAGATGCAATTTAGACGATGAAACCGATTCGCATTTAACTTAAATCTTTAATATTTATTGAAATACTAGCTAACCTTTTGTCTATGGGTGAGAACTAATCTATTCCGGTTATATTAGAAATCGCTGCACATTACTAACCTTCATTGGCCTCCGTTGGGCGCAGAAGACGGATTCCAATCACAAGAACCACTAGGAAACGTTTATTATTTGTCATTATTTAGAGATATTTAGGTTTAAAATATCATTCATGAGCATGGAATAACACAATTTAATTTTATCTTTCTCGATGAATATCTGCACAATAAAAAATTGGGATCAGTATTGCATTGCAATTTTTTCGAAGGGCATTCATGTCAAATTATAATTTTAGTTGATACGCTGTTGTAAAAAAATTCATGAGTGAATGCAATGTTCATGTGTCTATTATATATAATATTTTACAATGAGTAGAGAGGTAAATTTTTCGCTCTCAATAAATGATTTGACTTTGTTCTTTTAACCTAAAAAAATGATTGAGCTTTTGATTTTTATGCAGGAAAAATGGTTAATAATGAAAAATTTTTGCCGCGGCAGCTAACGTGATTGCGTGATAGGCGGATCCATTTCCAAATTAGCGAATGCTGTTAAATATAATTCTACAATGCAAATATGACTCTAATATCGCTCCGTATCTGCCGTTCCTTCCATATTGACAAATGCATAAAAATGTATGGTCTGCCAGATATTCAATTACCGCTGCACGCATTGTTGATAATTTGAACGAGAAATTTAAGCGGAAAAATTATTTTTGTCTCCACAACACTTGTGGATGAAAATCGGGTGCCATTTATTTTCCTATTTATTTTTTGTTGATAATTTTACTCTTTTATTGCAGTGTAGCGAAATTTAATTCGAATAGAGATGAATCTAAATATAGTAAAATTTCAAAATTATTGTTTGAGAGAACTCCAAAATATTTGAGAGAACTCCAACTATTACTTGAACTCCAAAAATATTACCAAAGATTTCTGTGGCCCATTCTCACTCGGCAGGGTTCAAGCTGCATATAAGTTTTCATTTTTGAAATAACCGTATCACAAGAAAAGTTGCAATTTGGGCGCTAAATCATCACATAACACTTTTCATCTTTAAGCGGTAAATTCAAATCCCATCAAGAGGCGGAGTCACTCAATGCAACTCACGATTGAAAACTTTTAGCCTGCCTAGCAATCTCTTTTGGCAAGGCCTCAGCGATCTCTTGCAAAAGTTGAGGCACCAGAAGCGTTTTAGTCAGTTTTCAGAGGGACTTGAACACGAGCATTTTATTTCCGTTGCCAAGTTGCATCAAGTATTTCGATTGGATGCTTCCTGATAAGCTCAGTCATCGCTGGCCCGTAACGTGGTTTGCATGATAGCCCTAAGCACTTCAGAAGCCGTCTAAAGTTTCAAGAGTTTCGTTAGATCCATTACGTTCGCCGTCAGACTCTCATGAGCCGTGCGCATGACGTCCATTTAACTCTATAACGATATCCAGTCTTCTCGAAACTATGCGCATTTCAGATCTCTCTTGGAAAACTGCTGACATCCGATTCGAGCCTCAGATTTTTTGACTGTAGCGCTATAAATTTATTCATAAAATTCAAAATTATATGATTATTTAACGCGGTAAGCTTGCGCCTTTATACACGATGTTAAATATTATAACACAATTTATTTCCATCCGTGCATCCATGAATACTTGTGAAAATAAATATTTTGCGATTACCAAAACTACAGCCTAATTTTTCGTCATGAACTAAAAGCACCATTTAAATTATTTGTAGATATATATGGTTTCGTGATCTCCGGTCTAAGTTCGTTTCTAGATATATCTATGAATTCTTCTTTTCATAGGAAAACTTCAGTTCTGACTCTGGACAAAAACCTTTCTTCAAACATTTCTTCAATTGTGCGTTTTCTCGAACCGACAGATGAAGGGAATAGATTGTAGTTTAGGGTATCCATGAATATCCGTTTCAGGATTGCGGTGGTCTCTAAACTGGTCAATTGATAGAAGTATGTTGCGACAGCCCGTAACAACACACGGAGTTTGTTTCAATTTAGCTGCATTGCTTGTAGTCATAACGAACGTAGTTCATTAAACCACTAGACATTGACAAACAACATGCCACTAATGGTAACTTATTACCTTGAGTAAAAATTTCAAATTATTAGACAATCATATTCATTAAATCATTAAATGTTTATTTACAATTTATGGAGGTGTGACCTGTCGTTCCCTACGTTAGGTCCGACAGATGACCGCCCAAAGTTTGCACGTCGGCCACGAAATTATAAAAAAGCAATTTAAAATGATTGATAATGCAACATCACTTTACAGTTCACCACTACAGTTTAAAACACTTTTAATCCAATAGAAAAATGGCACTTTAAAGTGGGCGCTCTACAGCTACAATTAAAAGAGGCACAAAGGTTGGCAAATAATACCCCGCTCAGTCAAGGAGAGGGTACACGGCAAGACTGTAAGCAGTAATAAAAGATCGGCATTTAATAGCTATCGGCGATCAGAGCTGCAACTTCGCTGATCGGCTAGCAGGACTGTCTCTCTCCTGAAAGGAATATCGCCCTCGTCACCTCTCTCTTTGCGACAAATCTTCCTTGAAAGGGTCGAAAGTCTAAATTATCCAACCGGTTTTGCTGAAAATTCATACATGTATTAACATAACATATTGATCTCGGCGCTGAAGTGAAGGCCTGATGTGGCCTGTCGCCGATTCTTTTCTTTTTCGTGCCTTGTTTACAGAAGATCTAATATCGTGTCATTTGACCGGATCTTTTCATGACTGACGATAGTTTGAAATAGCTGCTAGACTTCCACTGGGTTCGATATGGTGCTAGGCATTTCAAATCTGAACATATATTTTTTCATAGCTTTATCTCGTCTGTTCTTGAACGCTTTCATACTTGGAGCGCCAACGATGTCATTATTTATCTCTAAGCTTAAATAAATTCAAATCAGTAAAAATGGTATAAAAAGACCATGAACCATTTTCATTCGTCCACAGAGGACTTCCGAAATTGTACCGGGAAAGCTCCTTTTTTATTCTACAAACAACTGGCAAGCGACGTCAATCACGCGGCGCTGCAATCTTACAATAGGCGAAATAGGTTCTATCCTACCTTTTCACATTTTATACCACCCACCCATTTTATGTTGCAACCTGATATAATTTTCATCCAAGACTATAATTCTTATCCATTTCTTACGTAAAATAAGTATTAATGATCAAATTGAGTCTCTAAGAGGCATTTGAATTATATTGAATTACATAATATAGTGCATTATGGCTCAAGTTGAATAATTCTGACAGGAATGTCCAATCACTTCATTGCCAGGCCTAGAAAGATATGGAAAAAATCTGTTTATGAATGGGCACCGAACTCTGGGGTGAACGACCCGCCACTCTCGTCGTACTGATCGCTAAGTAAAGTCGAACTGAATTAACTCGTTTTTTTTTGGTTCTCTATTTATTGTTAACGGCAGATCATTTCACTCATATTCACTGAAAAATAATACTGCAAATTAAGATTTAATTGTAGAAGAAATTATCAATAGCGTCTGATAACTGTTTTCTATGATATAATTCACAACATGATTCAAAATTTTAAATGCTTCAAACTTTTGCATATTTAAATTTTAGCTATCTCGAATGCACTAGTTATTTCAAGTTCGAGATGTTTTTCAAAAATTATTCACGAGACAGAAAACTCATGTGGAAAATCCGATGTCATGTGGAGGAAGAGGATGCACAGTATGCTGAACTGCTCAGTTCTCTGGCAGGGATGCACCTGAAAGATTCATGCAAAAGCTTCATACGGATTGAGTTCACTCGAGAGGACGACAAGCCTTGGTCCTGAGCATTGCCACTGACGTGCGGCAAACAGATGGAAATTGCTGCGACGGATCACTAGGAAAGAAACTCTCCGAACGCGGCACTCGCAAATGTTTTCCGCGATTTTTGGCTGCAACGGAGCTATGAAGTCATGTTGGCTGGAGAGCTCAAAAAATATAACTAAACGCAGCTGCCACGCATCAGCCCAGTCAACTAAACTATCAAGATAATTTTGCAGTTGCATTTTATTTGACGCATCCTTAACTGTATTATAAACTTTTGTGTCATCGGCATACATGGAGCACACGCTTGACACTACTTCTAGTAGATCGTTTATAAAAGCGACGAACAAAACCGGATCTTTTCATGACTGACGATAGTTTGAAGTAGCTACTAGACTTCCACCGGGTTCGATATGGTGCTAGGCATTTCATATCTGAACATATATTTTTTCATAGCTTTATCTAGTCTGTTCTTGAACGCTTTCATACTTGGAGCGCCAACGATGTCATTATTTATCTCTAAGCTTAAATAAATTCAAATCAGTAAAAATGGTATAAAAAGACCATGAACAATTTTCATTCGTCCACAGAGGACTTCTGAAATTGTACTGCGAAGGCTCCTTTTTTATTCTACAAATAACTGGCAAGGGACGCCAATCACGCGGCGCTGCAATCTTCCAATTGGCGAAATAGGTTCTATCCTACCCTTTCACATTTTATACCACCTATCCATTTTATGTTGCAACCTGATATAATTCTAAGACTATAATTCTTATTCATCTCTTACTTAAAAAAAGTATTAATGATAAAATTGAATCTCTAAGAGCCATTTGAATTATACTGAATTATATAATATAGTGCATTATGGCTCAAGTTGAGTAGTTCTGACAGGGATGGCTAATTACTTGATCATTGCCAGGCCTAGAAAGATAAGAAAAAATCTGTTAATGATTGGGCAGCGATTTCGGGGGTGAACGACCCGACACTCTCGTCGTACAGATCGCTAAGTAAAGTCGAACTGAATTAACTCGTTTTTTTGGTTTCTATTTATTGTTAACGGCAGATCATTTCACTCATATTCACTGAAAAATAATACTGCAAATTAAGATTCAATTGTAGAAGAAATTATCAATAGCGTCTGATAACTGTTTTCTATGATATAATTCACAACATGATTCAAAATTTTAAATGCTTCAGACTTATGCGTATTTAAATTTTAGCTACCTCGAATGCACTAGTTATTCCAAGTTCGAGATGTTTTTCAAAAATTATTCACGAGACAGAAAACTCATGTGTAAAATCCGATGTCATGTGGCGGAAGGGCACGCACAGTACCTATGC